CTTATTTTCTCCTGAAGTACAATTTATTCAAAAATGAATAAATTCTGAGTATTTTCATTTATGAGTAGGCTTCTACCGTGTACCCGTAATGATCCAGCATATTATAAATACAATTTTAGGTTTATGTGGAATACTGTTAGAGATACACTTCTAATAGAGTAATTATATATTACTTAAACAGCAATTGTATACTTGTTGATGAAGAACATAATTCTTTTGTGATTTTTGTTGTTTATGTACAAAGCCAGATGGACCAAGTTCAAAAAATACATTTTATTTTCGATATCTAATTTTATCACAAAATTATCATTATCATCGCTAAATGAAATTCCAGGTGGGTAGAAGTAGAACTTGAATAAATTAATATTTGTTCATTTTTTTATTTAATACAGACGATCAGCATGATGCAGCCAGATGTGGTACTAGTGGAATTATGCAAAAGTCGGTTGAATATATTACAATTTGATGAGAAAACGCTGGAAGAAGAAGCAAAAAACATCAACATGCAAAAACTACGCATGTCAATAAAACAGGTTTGTTTTCATCATTTTATCGTCATAAATATTTTTTTATTTAATAATTCAGCTGTTTATAATGTCATGATATGGATTATTATCATCAAAGATAACTGTCACACAAATGCTGGTGGCTGATTGTACTGAGATGAGTTGGTGTTGTCAGTGGTTTGCAAATTTATAAACCACTTTAAATTAATTGTGCTAGAGACAACTTTTTTTAAGAGTCACTGGAAATCACAAATTATGTAGCAGTGTGAATTTTATAGGGGCCCTAAAGACAAAAAAATCACCATACTAAGATAAGTTCCAGCCACGAAAATTATGTATTTGTTATTTTATTTTTTCCATGATTTTGCTGCAAAAGATACATATGAACTTAGTTTGATTCTGCCCAACCAGTCTAGATCTTAAAGAAATTTCACAACACATTGAATTGTGATAATGATAATAAAATGAAATGAAATGTACTGTATTTGCCATATTAGCATATGTGTATTTTAAATATTTTTCTTTTCACATTTTTTTTTTTTTTTTTTCTCAGAGTGGTTTTATTACAGGTGTGATGCAGATATTGTTACTCAGTATGTCAGCTCATTTAACTAAAGAGTTGGGGATGGCACCGGGTGGAGAATTTAGGAAAGCGTTTCACTCAGTAAGTAGACATGTACGCAATAGAAATGACGCTTTGAAACTCAGCTTTAATTTGCCTGGAAAGGAGAATGTTACTAGAATCCTATCATGTGCATGTATAGGTGTTAGATCTGAATATTATGAACAAGTTGATTGACAACTCCCCATGAGATTGTATTTGCAATATGTCTGTATACTTTTAATACAACACCTTTTATAATGTTGCTGTTGCACTATTAAAACTCTGAGGTTTAGTCTCAGAATGAACAAAGATAACTGCATGATCAACAGTCACAGCACTGCACTGTCATGTTTGGTATGGGTCCCATGTAACATATTATTGCATATATTAAAAAATAATCTGTTTGTTTGTTTGCACAAAAATGAAACACACAACTATTCTGAAGTCGCATTATGCTGATTTCATCTACTGTAACGACACTGGTTCGATCAGGTGTTTGGGTGTTAGTACCGGTAGACTGTACAATACACATGTTGAATAAGCTACATGTGATTTCTTCATGACCGCATTTTTGTTTTATTTCCACAGGCTCAGAAAGTTCCTGGTTGTCGTGTTCATTTAGGGGATAGACCGATTCAGATTACACTGCGACGTGCAATGGGGGAATTGTCAGTATGGCAGAAAGTGAAATTAGGATGGCATCTCATCATGGCAAAAGAACCAATAACGTAAATTTTTTTTTAATTTCAAACTGAAAAAAATATCTTGTCATACAACATAAACAGAATCTCAGAATCTCAACAACTTAAACCCACGGCCAAACCCAATCCCAATCCATGGAAATGTAATGCGAACATATATACACATACAAACCAATTAAAGGTGGTAAACCTATTTGCTATTTACAGTTTGAATTAGACATCTATGAATGACTGTCTGTCATTTTGACATTCTTCATTTTTATGTATCCCAATCTGCGCTTTAATAATTTTAAAGTTGGATTGAAAAAAATGGATGAATATATTTTCTTATTTGTTGAGACTGCACACAGTATGAGTCATGTAATGTAATGTACAAATTGGTGTTTCATTTTCACAGGAAAGAAGAAGTGAGAAATGTAAACAAAAAGGATCTATTGGAAGAGATGTTGAGTGAAATGACAGGAGAGTTTCCGGGACTTAGTCGTGTCTTTGTAGAAGAGAGAGATATCTATCTAGCACATTCACTGCAGGCAGCGGCCAGACCCATACCATCTACTGATAATGAATTAGGTAAGTGTCTTTAGCA